CATAGTATTAGACACTTTCCCTCACCCGCTGCAGGTATGTTGTTATTTTCTCACATCGTTAATGTCGATCGGTCGCAGTGTCGTGATTTTCAACAAGCTGCAGCGATGATTTTGTATTGGTTTCTGAAACGAGCGAGTAGTTTGCCACAAGGCAATAGGCTCGCTGATATCCCGAGGCAAAGAGGATATTTTGTCAGGAATGCGCGAAGCACACTTTGGAGACGTGTAGATCCGCAAGGTGGACTGTGGTCGCGTCACTAGGCTCGGCGTTCCCAGCAAAGGACGAGCTGCTGAAGACGCGATTTCAAATACATGCTGGACAGGGATACACTGTTGGATGTTTCGACATTGCACGAGCAGAGCTCAAATTTACGGACAGTGCCCAACCTTATCGCAGCTCAATGTAGCGCCCAATCAGAATCGCTTCCCAAAACATCCGATATACGGGCAATGGGAGATCCGTTTGAGTCACTCTGCGACATGTCATTATTGAGTTAGCGACCAACATAATGCATGGGACAAGGCATTGACAACTTGGTTTCGTCGCCACGGAACTGTGCACTGCTGTCGCCTGATCGCCTCACAAGAGTCGCATACTGGCAACAAACATCGCCACCCAAGCCCCCCCCACAAATACCCACCCTTTCGTCGTGTGCTCGTGCGAAAGCCTCATTTGCCCGTTGCGAGGGCATGCAACATACTTGTGCGATTGAATCCCCATCACCCTCAAATCTTATGCGACTCTGACGAGCTTCGCCTGTATATGAAGTCCTTCTGAGGCCCAATTTGTTTGTTTTTGTTTTTGTTTTTTTTTTGTCACATAGCTATCACAGGCAAATTGGGCCAATATAGGGTAGTCTGGTTATCTAGTTGACATTTTCCTGTCTAAGAAAGGTGACCGTTGTTGTTTACCTTGCATTCCTCGGACAACAGTAAGGTATGAGAACATCCCGTCTGCATGTTTGGAGGTCTTCGTATTAGATGCAGTAACCATTACAGATTTGTGCACCTCTGTAGGTTGGAGCGTTGCCCGTGTGTTTGAACCAATGGGCCTGTAGATGGACACATGGCATCTAATGAATGGGCGATTCATTGGAGAAAAGGTGTTTGCGAGAGCAACGGACAGCGGACAGGAGTTTTTGTGAGCACCTACCTGGCTGGAGGTGCTTTTCGTCTGGACTGGAGTTACAGTACGAACTCAGCGAGGGCATTTTCCGCGCCAGAAATTTAATTTCGTGGTCAGAGACTACACGGCACAATCAACGGAGGGAGGCCAACAACCACCTTCGGTTTGTTTTTCAAGCATCTCCATCTAGTCACCGCAATGGTCCGACTGTAGAGAACAGAAGAAGAAGAAGAAGAAGAAGAAGAAGAAGAAGAAGAAGAAGAAGAAGAAGAAGAAGAAGAAGAAGAAGAAGAAGAAGAAGAAGAAGAAGAAGAAGAAGAAGAAGAAGAAGAAGAAGAAGAAGAAGAAGAAGAAGAAGAAGAAGAAGAAGAAGAAGAAGAAGAAGAAGAACAACAACAACAACAACAACAACAACAACAACAATAACAACAACAACAACGACAACAAAAACAACAACAACAACAACAACAACAACAACAACAACAACAACAACAACAACAACAACAACAACAACAACAACAACAACAACAACAACTGGGAACAGTCGGGAAAGTTTTAAGAAGTCAACACAGACGGATCCCCTAATGACTTGGTCACCAGTTTTTAGCACCAACACCATGTTCCAGTTCGGGTTTAAGACTACTCTGACTGATCTGGACGAATAACGGGGGTGGGCTGTTGGATTACCCTATGCTGGTGGATCGTTAAGGGAAATATTTTGGCACCGCATGACTGGTGAATGATTTCCAAGCAATTTCGCCAGCGTATCAGCAAAATGGGAGTCACAGACGTAGGATTGTAACTCATTTAGTTTGTAATGTTTTAATCCATCCCTATAAAAATCAGAGTTCAATCATGGTTGTTGGTTGCCGTACCTTGGTGTGGTAATTGCTTCATTATTTTGCATACTCATATGACATTATAATTGGTTGCATGAAAGCAACTATTTACTTCACAGAGATAGGCAAGGTTGGTTGGTATTTTCCGTAATTTCCACCTACATGACATTTCCACTGTTGTAAGAGAAAAACACATGAGGATCGTGGCGTGCCATTATTGTTATTATTATGCCTCCTTGTAGGCACAATAGAACGTAATGGCATTTTTTGTGTTGTACTTCTTTAGCAGGGTTTTGATTGACCATGTTTATCTCTAGATGGGAATTGAGTAATGCAATAAAGAGTAGTGATTAAAGGGTCGAGTACAAATGAAGCACGATGCTAAATACGAGCGTAGCTAGCCCTAGCTAGAAATCTTGAGTTTGGGTTTCAAACCCTCGCAAGGTGGTTTGGGCGCCTCGGGACTCGGACGTGACTCCACGCGTTGAAGGAGGCTGACACGAAAAGAATCGTGGATACACAGTTATCCGATAACAATAATTTTGGCGTGATGGGTGTCACCATCTGAATGACTCTCTTCCTCACCTCTCCGCCTCACCTCTCCGCCTCACCTCTCCTCCCCACCTCTGATCCTCCCCTCCTCCTCGCCTCTCTGCCTCACCTCTCCTCCTTGCCTCTCCGCCTTCCTTTTCCGCTTCTCCTCTCCTCCTCCCCTCTCATCCTCACCTCTCTGCCTCACCTCTCCTCCAGACCACTGGTCCTCACCTACACTCGTCGCCTAATAAGTTATAATCGCCTCACCTATGCTCGTCGCCTACCCTATTAGAGTCGCCTCACCTATCCCACTGCAGTCTCGCTGCCCGCCACCACAACTCTCCTCCTTTACTCCCCTTTACTATTCGATGGCGTACCCTCTCACACGCGTCCTATCTCTTGTCGCGTCCCCTCCCCCCGTCGCGTCCCCGCCCCCCCTCACATCTCATTCCGCGCCTCGTCTCCGATGGGGGCTTTGTCGCGACACCATTCCGCTATCTTCTTTTCTTAGCGCACATCCATTTATGCGGCGCATTTTGTATCTGCCTTCACGGGCGTTTTTCCCTTGCCAATTCCGCCTCGCATGCCTCGTATAGACTCATTGCCACTCCTCGCATCTCCTGTCCTAGCCCGTTGTAGATGCGTATTTGGAACCCTTTGCTTTCCGTGTCACCGTCGGCCAAGCGTTACCTCGCCGCATCGACTCACCTAATCGCGCGGTCGCCAACTTTCCGTCTCGCCGCGCCATATGTTTCGCGCCCATTCTCTCCTCTCCTCTCTCAATCTTAGCTACGTACGCCCCGCATCGTCGGCTCTGTAGCTCTACTACTAAGTTAGGTCTGCGTTTAGCGGCTGGTGCGGCAATTGATGTTGACTCTGGTTTGGCTAGTCCCATATTTCCTCCACTGGCTGTCCCCAACCCCAACCACCTCAAGTTGCTCTGGGACTTTCTGGGGCAGCTCTCTTGCCGTGAGCAAGGCTTTTTTTTTCAATAGTTGTTGCCCTGAATTTGAGTCAAATAAAAGGTGGTTTTTCAGCTGGAACCACAAATTAAGGGTTGGCTTTTTATGAACCCGGGGATGGGTTTATGCAGAGTGTAACCCTAGAGTTTAATGGTATATTACTTACTAGTGCTACCCCGAGTGTACTACTAGTGCTGGTAGGGCTACATGGGGGATCTCCTTAGGAGGAACAACTCTGAAGATTTTCGTTGTTCTCCCCTCACAGCACGTACTCACACCAACTCACAAACAGAGGGGAGATAACTCCCTTAGAAGATTTTCGTCCTTCTCCCCTCACAACACGTTACTCCCACCTCGTAGTCACCAACAGAGGGGAGACAACTTCCTTAGTAGATTTTCGTTCTTCTCCCCTCACAGCACATTGCTCACACCTCGTAGTCACCAACAAAGGGGAGACAACTCTCTTAGTGGATTTTCGTTATTCTCCCCTTAAAGCCCCGTGCACGTTACTCACACCCTTTTTCGTCTTGTCCATAAATCTACTGGTAGATTCTCACCGTGGCAGTGAAAAGGATACTGTGCAAAAGAACCCTAATGAGTCAGTGAAAAGGATACTGCCCAAAAGAACCCTGAAAATTAAGAGTAAAAGCTCAAGGAGCTTGATTTTTTAAGGGTGACTAAAAACCAAAAGTAAGCCCTGGCCCTGAGCCTTCGGCAGGTGGATTGTGTTTGTGAAACCACTAGAGGCTGGCTTTATTATGAATTAATTTGAGTAATAACAGGTAGGGTAACAAAGGAGTCGTGATTCAAGAGTGTCGATACAAATGAGGGCCTAGGCATTTATAGGCACGAACAGAGCTAGCCTAGAACCACGCAAACAGGTTGGGGCGATTCGGTGGGCGAAAGCTACGGAAGCGCTGCGCGTCAAGGTTTGGGTTCGCGAAGTGGTTCGGGACCGAAGAAGTTGGCCGAGCCTGGACTTCCGAGAGTCGAGGGCGTACGCGATATAGTCGAGCTCAGTAAGGAAAATGGAATTTCCTTATAGGCATGGTGGAATATTGCGGAGAGGGGGTTGTGGCTTGGGTTACCAACCCGAACCTACATCAAACTGCCCCCAGTTTGATGGGTGGGGCCAGTTTGACTTTTCTAATCTGGGACCTGGGTTTTAAATCTCCTTACCGGTTACCCTCTCAGTGGGGCCAATCATTCGTCACTTCAGAGCACACCACTACTGCTTGAGGTGCTCGGGAAATACCCCATCAGTTGGTTCTGTATGCTGTCACGTACAATCGCATTCCTCTAAAAACAAACGCAGCCGTCCTGACATACACGCTTAATTTTAACGAGGTTAAGGGTGTACAAATACAGCTGTTTCCCGTCTCTCTGTCGCCTTCCTCTCTTCTGGAAAGCTCCTGGGCAGGAGAGCTGAGAACACCCTGTTGCCGTGGAAGCGGACAAGCTACAGTAGGTGTTCGATAGCTGTTATTCGCCAATTCTCCCAACATTGAGAGTCGCGGGCTCAGTTTTCTGCCCCAGCTCAAGCCTAATGTCGCCCGGCCTTAGTATGCAGCCGCCATGGGGAGACGCCTAATTTCAGTACCCATTTCTCAGTCGCTTTTGTATTGCAACTGCCGTCGGCCATGCCATGCCGCATTGACGGGGACGGAAGCCAATGCCGTCCAGTAAAAACCGCGTCATCACTCAATATTCCCGACCCCGCCCACAGAATCGGCGACTCCTCGTCGCGTACTAAACTTGCCAGCTGAGCTGTCAGGCCCATACGCGGCATTGCGACATTGCGACATTGCATAGCTGCTGTCATTGCCGCCTGTATTCAGGGTTGGGTTCAGGCATGCGCTTTCTGACCCGTGGTCGCTCCTCGATGGACGATTGCTTACCCAATCGAAATTCGATTGCGCCTGCGAATAAGCGACGCTTTGCGACCGCATCGCGACGCACTGCGGCTACCACGCAACCGGCGGCGTTTGCGACATTACGGCACGTTGCGACGCCATCACGCCCGGCGCGATTACCGTGTGCGACGCAGGCAGTCGCAATCATCGCCGCGGCGTGCCTGCTCGCGACGTTCGCGGTCACGCCAAGCGACGCCGTCCCCATTCACGAGTCGCAGAGTACGTCGCTCGTGCATTTCCAGCCTTGCTACCACCACTACTAGCAGTGGTAGTGGTAGTAGTACTACTAGCAGCAGTAGTGCGAAATCATAGAAGTTCATTTTTTCGCCCTCCTCCCGTCACCCCGTCCAACCCTCCCGCCGTGTCGCACTTCCACCCTCGGGTCTTATAACGCCTCGCCACCCATTGGGTCAAAACGAGGTTACCAGAGGGGCGCAGCGGAATTGCACGTTCACATCTCGGGTACGTTACACCCCCCTGGCGCCAACGTCCTCGTTGGCTCAGGGAGTCGGCCTCCGCAAGGACCTCGTACAGTTCGCTGGAAGCACAACGAACTCACTGGTGCTTCAGGCCAGTGCTACCGGATCGTTCGCTGGGTTCGCAACTGGTTACCACATTCGAGTTCTCGCCTTTCAAGCGGAAAATGTGATTAGCCGGGAATCGAACCCTAAGCTCTGATACCAGTATAACGCCTCGATACCCACTGGGTCAAAACGCGGTTACCAGAGGGGCGCAGGGGAATTGCACGTTCACATCTCAGGTACGTTACAGGTCTCTTCCCCTTCTCCCGGCCTGCTCTCCCCCTTCTCTCGGCCTGTTCTCCCCTTTTTCGGCCTTCTCCCCGCCGTGTCTCCGCCTCTTCTCCCCCAAATACCCCGAGCGCGGCTCATCCCCTCACCTCCCATTACCTCCGCGCCCTTTCCCGCAGAGAGCGCGCTGGGCGTCATCCTGGGTCAACAGCAGGGCTTGACAGGCGCGTCCGGGGGAACGGGCGGCACTGGCAATGTGGCGGGCGGCACTGGTGGTGGGACGGGCGGCAGTGGCTACGGTGCAGCCGGCGGCGGTCAGGGGGGGGAGGAGAGGAGGTGGAGGAAGACTGCGAGCTTATAAGGGAGATAGAGTGCGACACGCAGGGATATGTGACGTCCCTGTAAGAAAGTTCTTCCGTGGCCCGCACACTATTTTGACACGATTATTATCACGATTCACAAGGTTTTGAGACGTCTCAACATGCTATTGTTGTGGGCGCAGCACGCAATGCTGACAGCCCTGGGCAGGGCTTGCAGCAAGCAGGGCAGCAGAACTGGGCCTTCAGCAGTTCTGCAAACCCCCCCTTTTCACCCTCACAAGCCGCCAATGCTCTCCCAGCTTTGAAAAGCGCGAGGGTACTGGGGAACAATGAGGTTCAGCATAGGGAAGTGTGCTGGATTCCACTCATATGGCATGGCAACCAGGGGAGGGGAGGGACGTCTACCTCTCATGCCTTATGCCTCGTAGGGTCAAAGGCCCTCTTCCTCTCCCTCCTCCACCTTTTCTCGCCCCAGGCTCTCGGGCGTTGGAAGGCATGCTGTCTCGCGGATTCTCCCTCCATTTCTGCCACCACCGCGCATCGACCCTATCTCTCCCCGTCCCTTCCCTCGTGCTCATTCTCGTTTCCCCCCGCCTGCGTGCGTTGTCTTCCTACCCACCCCTCGCGTGCAGAAAGCTCGCATCCATGCTGTCGGTACCTGAGGATATTCAATCCCTCGTGCGCCTGCAGACGCTGTAAGCCCCCTGTCTCAGCTCAGCTGCCATGAGCCATTGGTTCAACTCCGCATCACCTCTCAGCGATGCCGTCGACTCCTCAGGAAATTCGCCATGCAAAAGACACTGTTAGTAAGCCCTCTCGTTTGTGGCCATGCGCCCTACGCTCACCTGTGCTTGCTGTTATAAGCCCGCCCTCCCATCAGTTGCCTTGCCACGTGCCCGTTTCTCATTAGCCATGGCTGTTGTAAGCACACCGCATGCCACACTAGTCGTCCCACTGCTCTCACCACTCTCTAATCATCTCCCAAACTCTCCCCACTGCCTGTGGCGCCGACTGCTATTCACTTACCCTCGTAATCTCTCTCCTCCCTCTTTCCTCCCTCTCACCCTCCTTTCCTCTCTTGATCTCAGCTTTCCTTTCAACCCCAACCCCCCTTTCAACCCCAAATCCTCTTTCACAGAAAGCTCTTTTCAAGCTCGATACCACCGATCCGCATGCCAAGCATTCCTTCGGTCATTGGACAACTTTCCTCCCTCACCTCGCTGTAAGCCCACTCGCTGTAAACCCAATCTCTGTACCCACTGTCAAGGCGCAAAAAAGCGATGGTCGTTTTAAACGGGCCGTTTAATACGATCGTTTTATACGGTTTTTTTTTTTAAAAACGCCGTTTTTTTGTTCGAAAACTCCAGTCACAATTTTTTTTATTAATCAGTCTAAAAACCTCATGGCACTATCCCTGAGGCATACTGCACTGACTACGACAACAGATTCGCCATAAAAGAGGTGAGTAGAGCTCCCTACCCCTATCGCGCTGCCCCTACCGTCCCCCCCCTACTATTTCTTATCCTCCTCCACTTTCCCCGTGAGCAAAACTCCCTGCCTTCCTCCGGCCCCTAACCCCCCCCTTACTACTTCTACTCATCCTCCTCCTCCTCCTCGTCATCCTCCTCCCCGCTCTCACTCCCGCTCTGCTCCCATGGTGCTCCCCCCTTGCGCCACTCGTGGGATTCATCCCCCCCGCTCTCACTAGAGCTCCCTGCTTCTTCGTCCTCATCGGAGTCTGCTGCACGCTTCTCTTTGCCCTTCTTGGACCCGCCCATCTTCTTTGCCCGCTTCCTGGCCTTGCGCTTGGCTGACCGCTTCTTCTTCCACCCCCCGGCTGCCCCGAACTTCCTCCAATCGATGGCACAGCCCACGGCATCCTCCCCCTCCTCCTCCTCTGCCGGCTCGGTTTGCTGAGGGGGCGCCTCGGGCACGCTGCAGCCTTCCTTCAGCCTTCCAGAATCAAGGTCGGCATAGAGCTTCGAGCGTAGCTCTAGCTTGAGGTCGAACGCAGCCCGGGCGCGCCTGCTGAAGGCGAACCATGTGATGCCAATCATGGTCTCGGGGCTGAGGTTGTTTCGGTCACGCCGCTGGACTCAAGCCATGGCTGACCACCAACGCTCGACCTCAGACGAGGTGATGGGCTGGGAGAGGATCCTGACCGCAAGCTCCTGCAGCTGGCGCACCTCCTCTCCGTGGATGAGCCACCATCCGGCCTCCGACATCCTTCCGCACTGGACCAGAGCGGAAGCTGCCCACCTTGCGTCCTTCCCCCCCAACTTCCCCTCCCCCTTGTGGAATGACTGCAGCTGCGCTTGCAGCATGGTGCGCCGTCCGGGGTCAGACTCACGTGCCTTGAGCACGGCGTCAACCCCTTTGCGGAGCTCGGTGTCGCCCCACACCTCGTCCGCAAATTGGTTGAGGGGGCTCAGCAGCCACCCCATAGCATGGAGGGGGTTGTGCAGCTGAGCGTCCCACCTCTTTGCGATAATCTTCTTCACGCTAGCCAAGAAGGCGGCTCTGTCCTTCGCTTCCATCAGCTCGGCCTTCTTAATGAAGAAAGTAGCTGTGGAAATGGGGATTGGGTGGAGAGAGAGCGGGGGTTCGGGAAGGGGATCCAACCCAGCATGCAACGGACAGAGAAGAAAGCTGTGAGGGGGACAAAGGCGGATGACTTACCCGCAGCACTAGCCGCCTCGTTGGTCTTGACCGTGGCCTCAACCATGAGGCCATAGATCTTGGCCATCAGCAGTGCTCGCGTGTCCACTGCCCGAAGGACATCATGCACCGGCTGCATGAGCCGGAGTACAACGTTCACGGACTCCCAGAACTTCTCCTTCAGCAGCATCGCCCGAATCTCCTGACCCTCCTTTGTCCCACTGACGGCTACCCCCTTCCACTCCTCGCTAATGACCAGCCGCAGCAAAGACTCCTTCAGCAAGGAACCGGGTGATCATTATCACCTGGGTTCCAAAACGAGTGGCTCCAGGTTTGACAAGTTCGAGCTGGCTGAAAATCTCCCTAAAGAGAATGACGGTGCTCGCACTGTTCTTAACCATCATCGCTACCCGCTGCGCCTCCGCTAGCACCTTCTGCACGACGGGGATGCCCCCAATGTCACTCAGCATCAGGTCTAGGCAATGAGCGGCGCAGTTGGTGAAAAAATGGCCGGAAAGCCCTCCTTCAAAAGGCTGGACGCTTTCTTATTGTTGCTGGCATTGTCCATCACGCACTGGACAACGGCTTTGTCGCCGACTTCGCATATGGCCTTGCGGATCAAGGCCGCCAAGTAAGACCATGTCTTCTTGGCGGTCTTAGAGTCCACTATATCGACGAGCACCGGGCAGCTCTCGTTTTGCGCAATGACGCATACGATGGCGCGGCTCTTCAAGCAAGACCAGACGTCAACTGATAAGGTGCAGCCGACGGACTTCCAAGTCTCCTTGAGGGGCGACACCAACTCGAAGGTGTCGGCCTTCAACTTCTGGAGCAGGGGCTCCGACACCTTGTATGCCGAGGGTAGCTTGTACGGCTTCCCGTACGCCACTGCCGCGTTCACGAACGCCTGCGTCACTTTGGACCTTGTGGGTGGGAAAAGGCGGGGACTTAGAGCGAGGGGAGTGCTGTGCGTGCCACGCGAGGAACGGGTGCAAAAGACATGCTGCGGGAGCATAAATGGCAATAGAGAGAGGACTTCTCACTGGGAACAGCGGAAGGCCCAGTCATTCTCGGCCACCACGGCGGCCCACAAGTGGTCAAGACGCTCCTTGCCAGCTTGATCTGACATCGCACGGATATCGAGCTGGACTTGCGCCTTGGACGTCGTCACCTCGCTCGTCGACGTGGAGGCCGAGCCACGCGAAGATCCGGCAGTGTTTCCCTTCTCGCGCAGCGTCCACGCGAGCTCGGAGGTGCACGTGGCGATATTCTTTGACTTCGTGGCCGGGGTACCGAAAAGGTGCTCCTGAATTCGTGTGGCGCTTGACGTCATGGTTTGCGTGCAGTAGTTACACTGGACCCTAACGAGTTTACCGTCGTCATCAAACGTGCGGGTGACGTGTTCCCACAAGCGAGAAGGAGTCCGCGGCATGGCGGAACTGTGGTCTTGGGCGCTGCTGCTAGCACTGACTGAGCTAGCTAAGATTCTTAGTCTCTGGAATTTGAGATGCACTCACCTGTTCTATTGTGCTCCACATTTGTATGTGCTCAACTCGACAATAATCGTGAAGGCCGTTTGATGAAGTCGTTGGAAAGGGTGCACACCTCTGGGGGGATTGGGAAATTTGCGACACGTCAGGTGCGCGATGTGTCGCGTACGTCGCGAACTCATTTTTCAGGCGCGAAACTGTACACCAGGCCACTAGCGACAGTGGGGTACAGCTCGCAACGGCTTCGCGAATTGGATCCAATTCGCGGATCGACATTGGCGCCGAGTCGCGTTTCGTTGGAAAATTGTGTCAGCTCGAATCTGACTTTGGAGCGACACCAAAATCGAGTCAGCCAAACCAACATACGCGATATACGTATACAATTGTTGGGTACAAAAAAAGCGATCGTATAAAACGATCGCTTTTTTGCACCACATAAAAAAGGGCACATTGACCGCTTTTTATCGTTTTAAACGACGGAATCTTACGATGTCGTTTAAAACGACAAATTTTTGAAAAAAACGCCGCTTTTTTGCGCCTTGCCCACTGTAGGTCCAATACTGTACTCACTCACTGAAAGCCCAAGTGGCTACACTCACTGTAAGCTTAATCGCTGTACTCACTGAAGGCCCGATCGCTGTACTCACATAAAGCCCAATAGCGGTACTCACTGCAAGCCCAATTGCTGTACCCAAAGAAATACTTTTTGTCCCCGCTGTTCTTTCCCCATTCGTCTGTTCTTTCCCCATTCGGCTGTTCTTTCCCCATTCGGCTGTTCTTTCCCCATTCGGCTTTTCTCTCCCCATTCGGCTGTTCTTTCCCCATTTGGCTGTACTTTCCCCATTCGGTTGTTCTTTCCCCATTTGGCTGTTCTTTCCCCATTCAGCTGTTCTTTCCCCATTCGGCTGTTCTTTCCGCATTCGGCTGTTCTTTCCCCATTCCGCTGTTCTTTCCCCATTCGGCTGTTCTTTCCCCATTCGGCTGTTCTTTCCCCATTCGGCTGTTCTTTCCCCATTCAACTGTACTTTCCCGATTCGGCTGTTCTTTCCCCATTCGGCCGTTCTTTCCCCATTCGGCTGTTCTTTCCCCATTCGGCTGTTCTTTCCCCATTCGGCTGTTCTTTCCCCACTCGGCTGTTCTTTCCCCATTCGGCTGTTCTTTCCCCATTCGGCTGTTCTTTCCCCATTCGGCTGTTCTTTTCCCATTCGGCTGTTCTTTCCCTATTCGTCTGTTCTTTCCCTATTCGTCTGTTCTTTCCCCATTCGTCTGTTCTTTCCCCATTCGTCTGTTCTTTCCCCATTCATCTGTTCTTTCCGCATTCGGCTGTTCTTTCCCCAGTCGGCTGTTCTTTCCCCATTCGGCTGTTCTTTCCCCATTCGGCCGTTCTTTCCCCATTCGGCTGTGCTTTCCCCATTCGGCTATTCTTTCCCCATTCGGCTGTTCTTTTCCCATTCGGCTGTTCTTTCCCTATTCGGCTGTTCTTTCCCCATTCGGCTGTTCTTTTCCCATTCGGCTGTTCTTTCCCTATTCGTCTGTTCTTTCCCTATTCGTCTGTTCTTTCCCCATTCGTCTGTTCTTTACCCATTCGTCTGTTCTTTTCCCATTCGTCTGTTCTTTCCCCATTCGTCTGTTCTTTCCCCATTCGTCTGTTCTTTCCCCATTCGGCTGTTCTTTCCCCATTCGGCTGTTCTTTCCCCATTCGGCTGTTCTTTCCCCATTCGGCCGTTCTTTCCCCATTCGGCTGTTCTTTCCCCATTCGGCTGTTCTTTCCCCATTCATCTGTTCTTTTCCCATTTGTCTGTTCTTTCCCCATTCGTCTGTTCTTTCCCTATTCGTCTGTTCTTTCCCCATTCGTCTGTTCTTTACCCATTCGTCTGTTGTTTTCCCATTCGTCTGTTCTTTCCCCATTCGTCTGTTCTTTCCCCATTCGTCTGTTCTTTCCCCATTCGGCTGTTCTTTCCCCATTCGGCTGTTCTTTCCCCATTCGGCTGTTCTTTCCCCATTCGGCCGTTCTTTCCCCATTCGGCTGTTCTTTCCCCATTCGGCTGTTCTTTCCCCATTCATCTGTTCTTTTCCCATTTGTCTGTTCTTTCCCCATTCGTCTGTTCTTTCCCTATTCGTCTGTTCTTTCCCCATTCGTCTGTTCTTTACCCATTCGTCTGTTGTTTTCCCATTCGTCTGTTCTTTCCCCATTCGTCTGTTCTTTCCCCATTCGTCTGTTCTTTCCCCATTCGGCTGTTCTGTCCCCATTCGGCTGTTCTTTCCCCATTCGGCTGTTCTTTTCCCATTCAACTGTTCTTTCCCCATTCGGCTGTGCTTTCCCCATTCGGCTGTGCTTTCCCCATTCGGGCTGTTCTTTCCCCATTCGCCTGTTCTTTCCCCATTCGGCTGTTCTGTCCCCATTCGGCTGTTCTTTCCCCATTCGGCTGTTCTTTCCCCATTCAACTGTTCTTTCCCCATTCGGCTGTTCTTTCCCCATTCGGCCGTTCTTTCCCCATTCGGCTGTTCTTTCCCCATTCGGCTGTTCTTTCCCCATTCGGCTGTTCTTTCCCCATTCGGCTGTTCTTTCCCCACTCGGCTGTTCTTTCCCCATTCGGCTGTTCTTTCCCCATTCGGCTGTTCTTTCCCCATTCGGCTGTTCTTTTCCCATTCGGCTGTTCTTTCCCTATTCGTCTGTTCTTTCCCTATTCGTCTGTTCTTTCCCCACTCGTCTGTTCTTTCCCCATTCATCTGTTCTTTCCGCATTCGGCTGTTCTTTCCCCAGTCGGCTGTTCTTTCCCCATTCGGCTGTTCTTTCCCCATTCGGCTGTTCTTTCCCCATTCGGCTGTTCTTTCCCCATTCGGCTGTTCTTTCCCCATTCGGCCGTTCTTTCCCCATTCGGCTGTTCTTTCCCCATTCGGCTGTTCTTTCCCCATTCATCTGTTCTTTTCCCATTTGTCTGTTCTTTCCCCATTCGTCTGTTCTTTCCCTATTCGTCTGTTCTTTCCCCATTCGTCTGTTCTTTACCCATTCGTCTGTTGTTTTCCCATTCGTCTGTTCTTTCCCCATTCGTCTGTTCTTTCCCCATTCGTCTGTTCTTTCCCCATTCGGCTGTTCTGTCCCCATTCGGCTGTTCTTTCCCCATTCGGCTGTTCTTTCCCCATTCAACTGTTCTTTCCCCATTCGGCTGTGCTTTCCCCATTCGGCTGTTCTTTCCCCATTCGCCTGTTCTTTCCCCATTCGGCTGTTCTGTCCCCATTCGGCTGTTCTTTCCCCATTCGGCTGTTCTTTCCCCATTCAACTGTTCTTTCCCCATTCGGCTGTTCTTTCCCCATTCGGCCGTTCTTTCCCCATTCGGCTGTTCTTTCCCCATTCGGCTGTTCTTTCCCCATTCGGCTGTTCTTTCCCCACTCGGCTGTTCTTTCCCCATTCGGCTGTTCTTTCCCCATTCGGCTGTTCTTTCCCCATTCGGCTGTTCTTTTCCCATTCGGCTGTTCTTTCCCTATTCGTCTGTTCTTTCCCTATTCGTCTGTTCTTTCCCTATTCGTCTGTTCTTTCCCCACTCGTCTGTTCTTTCCCCATTCATCTGTTCTTTCCGCATTCGGCTGTTCTTTCCCCAGTCGGCTGTTCTTTCCCCATTTTGCTGTTCTTTCCGCATTCGGCTGTTCTTTCCCCATTCGGCTGTTCTCTCCCCATTCGGCTGTTCTTTCCCCATTTGGCTGTTCTTTCCCCATTCGGCTGTTCTTTCCCCATTCGGCTGTTCGTTCCCCATTCGGCTGTGCTTTCCCCATTCGGCTGTTCGTTCCCCATTCGGCTGTTCTTTTCCCATTCGGCTGTTCTTTCCCTATTCGTCTGTTCTTTCCCCATTCGGCTGTTCTTTTCCCATTCGGCTGTTCTTTCCCTATTCGTCTGTTCTTTCCCCATTCGTCTGTTCTTTACCCATTCGTCTGTTCTTTTCCCATTCGTCTGTTCTTTCCCCATTCGTCTGTTCTTTCCCCATTCGGCTGTTCTTTCCCCATTCGGCTGTTCTTTCTCCATTCGGCTGTTCTTTCCCCATTCAGCCGTTCTTTCCCCATTCGGCCGTTCTTTCCCCATTCGGCCGTTCTTTCCCCATTCATCTGTTCTTTTCCCATTTGTCTGTTCTTTCCCCATTCGTCTGTTCTTTCCCTATTCGTCTGTTCTTTCCCCATTCGTCTGTTCTTTACCCATTCGTCTGTTGTTTTCCCATTCGTCTGTTCTTTCCCCATTCGGCTGTTCTGTCCCCATTCGGCTGTTCTTTCCCCATTCGGCTGTTCTTTCCCCATTCAACTGTTCTTTCCCCATTCGGCTGTTCTTTCCCCATTCGGCTGTTCTTTCCCCATTCGGCTGTTCTTTCCCCATTCGGCTGTTCTTTCTCCATTCGGCCGTTCTTTCCCCATTCGGCTGTTCTTTCCCCATTCGGCTGTTCTTTCCCCATTCGGCTGTTCTTTTCCCATTCGGCTGTTCTTTCCCTATTTGTCTGTTCTTTCCCTATTCGGCCGTTCTTTCCCCATTCGGCTGGTCTTTCCCCATTCGGCTGTTCTTTCCCCATTCGGCTGTTCTTTCCCCATTCGGCTGTTCTTTCCCCATTCGGCTGTTCTTTCCCCATTCGGCTGTTCTTTCTCCATTCGGCCGTTCTTTCCCCATTCGGCTGTTCTTTCCCCATTCAGCTGTTCTTTCCCCATTCATCTGTTCTTTTCCCATTTGTCTGTTCTTTCCCCATTCGTCTGTTCTTTCCCTATTCGTCTGTTCTTTCCCTATTCGTCTGTTCTTTCCCCATTCGTCTGTTCTTTCCCTATTCGGCCGTTCTTTCCCCATTCGGCTGGTCTTTCCCCATTCGGCTGTTCTTTCCCCATTCGGCTGTTCTTTCCCCATTCGGCTGTTCTTTCCCCATTCGGCTGTTCTTTCCCCATTCGGCTTTTCTCTCCCCATTCGGCTGTTCTTTCCCCATTTGGCTGTACTTTCCCCATTCGGTTGTTATTTCCCCATTCGGCTGTTCTTTCCCCATTCAGCTGTTCTTTCCCCATTCGGCTGTTCTTTCCGCATTCGGCTGTTCTTTCCCCATTCGGCTGTTCTTTCCCCATTCGGCTGTTCTTTCCCCATTCGGCTGTTCTTTCCCCATTCGGCTGTTCTTTCCCCATTCAACTGTACTTTCCCCATTCGGCTGTTCTTTCCCCATTCGGCCGTTCTTTCCCCATTCGGCTGTTCTTTCCCCATTCGGCTGTTCTTTTCCCATTCGGCTGTTCTTTCCCTATTCGTCTGTTCTTTCCCTATTCGTCTGTTCTTTCCCTATTCGTCTGTTCTTTCCCCACTCGTCTGTTCTTTCCCCATTCATCTGTTCTTTCCGCATTCGGCTGTTCTTTCCCCAGTCGGCTGTTCTTTCCCCATTCGGCTGTTCTTTCCCCATTCGGCTGTTCTTTCCCCATTCGGCTGTTCTCTCCCCATTCGGCTGTTCTTTCCCCATTTGGCTGTTCTTTCCCCATTCGGCTGTTCTTTCCCCATTCGGCTGTTCTTTCCCCATTCGGCCGTTCTTTCCCCATTCGGCTGTGCTTTCCCCATTCGGCTGGCTGTTCTTTTCCCATTCGGCTGTTCTTTCCCTATTCGTCTGTTCTTTCCCCATTCGGCTGTTCTTGTCCCATTCGGCTGTTCTTTCCCTATTCGTCTGTTCTTTCCCCATTCGTCTGTTCTTTACCCATTCGTCTGTTCTTTTCCCATTCGTCTGTTCTTTCCCCATTCGTCTGTTCTTTCCCCATTCGGCTGTTCTTTCCCCATTCGGCTGTTCTTTCCCCATTCGGCTGTTCTTTCCCCATTCGGCCGTTCTTTCCCCATTCGGCCGTTCTTTCCCCATTCGGCTGTTCTTTCCCCTTTCATCTGTTCTTTTCCCATTTGTCTGTTCTTTCCCCATTCGGCTGTTCTTTCCCTATTCGTCTGTTCTTTCCCCATTCGGCTGTTCTTTTCCCATTCGGCTGTTCTTTCCCTATTCGTCTGTTCTTTCCCCATTCGTCTGTTCTTTACCCATTCGTCTGTTCTTTTCCCATTCGTCTGTTCTTTCCCCATTCGTCTGTTCTTTCCCCATTCGGCTGTTCTTTCCCCATTCGGCTGTTCTTTCCCCATTCGGCTGTTCTTTCCCCATTCGGCCGTTCTTTCCCCATTCGGCCGTTCTTTCCCCATTGGGCTGTTCTTTCCCCTTTCATCTGTTCTTTTCCCATTTGTCTGTTCTTTCCCCATTCGTCTGTTCTTTCCCTATTCGTCTGTTCTTTCCCCATTCGTCTGTTCTTTACCCATTCGTCTGTTGTTTTCCCATTCGTCTGTTGTTTCCCCATTCGTCTGTTCTTTCCCCATTCGTCTGTTCTTTCCCCATTTGGCTGTTCTGTCCCCATTCGGCTGTTCTTTCCCCATTCGGCTGTTCTTTCCCCATTCAACTGTTCTTTCCCCATTCGGCTGTTCTTTCCCCATTCGGCTGTTCTTTCCCCATTCGGCTGTTCTTTCCCCATTCGGCTGTTCTTTCCCCATTCGGCTGTTCTTTCCCCATTCGGCTGTTCTTTCCCCATTCGGCTGTTCTTTTCCCATTCGGCTGTTCTTTCCCTATTCGTCTGTTCTTTCCCTATTCGGCCGTTCTTTCCCCATTCGGCTGTTCTTTCCCCATTCGGCTGTTCTTTCCCCATTCGGCTGTTCTTTCCCCATTCGGCTGTTCTTTCCCCATTCGGCTGTTCTTTCCCCATTCATCTGTTCTTTTCCCATTTGTCTGTTCTTTCCCCATTCGTCTGTTCGTTCCCTATTCGTCTGTTCTTTCCCCATTCGTCTGTTCTTTACCCATTCGTCTGTTCTTTTCCCATTCGTCTGTTCTTTCCCCATTCGTCTGTTCTTTCCCCATTCGCCTGTTCTTTCCCCATTCGGCTGTTCTGTCCCCATTCGGCTGTTCTTTCCCCATTCGGCTGTTCTTTCCCCATTCAACTGTTCTTTCCCCATTCGGCTGTTCTTTCCCCATTCGGCTGTTCTTTCTCCATTCGGCCGTTCTTTCTCCATTCGGCCGTTCTTTCCCCATTCGGCTGTTCTTTCCCGATTCGGCTGTTCTTTCCCCATTCGGCTGTTCTTTTCCCATTCGGCTGTTCTTTCCCTATTCGTCTGTTCTTTCCCTATTCGTCTGTTCTTTCCCTATTCGTCTGTTCTTTCCCCACTCGTCTGTTCTTTCCCCATTCATCTGTTCTTTCCGCATTCGGCTGTTCTTTCCCCAGTCGGCTGTTCTTTCCCCATTCGGCTGTTCTTTCCCCATTCGGCTGTTCTTTCCCCATTCGGCTGTTCTCTCCCCATTCGGCTGTTCTTTCCCCATTTGGCTGTTCTTTCCCCATTCGGCTGTTCTTTCCCCATTCGGCTTTCTTTCCCCATTCGGCCGTTCTTTCCCCATTCGGCTGTGCTTTCCCCATTCGGCTGTTCTTTCCCCATTCGGCTGTTCTTTTCCCATTCGGCTGTTCTTTCCCTATTCGTCTGTTCTTTCCCCATTCGGCTGTTCTTGTCCCATTCGGCTGTTCTTTCCCTATTCGTCTGTTCTTTCCCCATTCGTCTGTTCTTTACCCATTCGTCTGTTCTTTTCCCATTCGTCTGTTCTTTCCCCATTCGTCTGTTCTTTCCCCATTCGGCTGTTCTTTCCCCATTCGGCTGTTCTTTCCCCATTCGGCTGTTCTTTCCCCATTCGGCCGTTCTTTCCCCATTCGGCCGTTCTTTCCCCATTCGGCTGTTCTTTCCCCTTTCATCTGTTCTTTTCCCATTTGTCTGTTCTTTCCCCATTCGGCTGTTCTTTCCCTATTTGTCTGTTCTTTCCCCATTCGGCTGTTCTTTTCCCATTCGGCTGTTCTTTCCCTATTCGTCTGTTCTTTCCCCATTCGTCTGTTCTTTACCCATTCGTCTGTTCTTTTCCCATTCGTCTGTTCTTTCCCCATTCGTCTGTTCTTTCCCCATTCGGCTGTTCTTTCCCCATTCGGCTGTTCTTTCCCCATTCGGCTGTTCTTTCCCCATTCGGCCGTTCTTTCCCCATTCGGCCGTTCTTTCCCCATTCGGCTGTTCTTTCCCCTTTCATCTGTTCTTTTCCCATTTGTCTGTTCTTTCCCCATTCGTCTGTTCTTTCCCTATTCGTCTGTTCTTTCCCCATTCGTCTGTTCTTTACCCATTCGTCTGTTGTTTTCCCATTCGTCTGTTGTTTCCCCATTCGTCTGTTCTTTCCCCATTCGTCTGTTCTTTCCCCATTTGGCTGTTCTGTCCCCATTCGGCTGTTCTTTCCCCATTCGGCTGTTCTTTCCCCATTCAACTGTTCTTTCCCCATTCGGCTGTTCTTTCCCCATTCGGCTGTTCTTTCCCCATTCGGCTGTTCTTTCTCCATTCGGCCGTTCTTTCTCCATTCGGCCGTTCTTTCCCCATTCGGCTGTTCTTTCCCCATTCGGCTGTTCTTTCCCCATTCGGCCGTTCTTTCCCCATTCGGCCGTTCTTTCCCCATTCGGCTGTTCTTTCCCCTTTCATCTGTTCTTTTCCCATTTGTCTGTTCTTTCCCCATTCGTCTGTTCTTTCCCTATTCGTCTGTTCTTTCCCCATTCGTCTGTTCTTTACCCATTCGTCTGTTGTTTTCCCATTCGTCTGTTGTTTCCCCATTCGTCTGTTCTTTCCCCATTCGTCTGTTCTTTCCCCATTTGGCTGTTCTGTCCCCATTCGGCTGTTCTTTCCCCATTCGGCTGTTCTTTCCCCATTCAACTGTTCTTTCCCCATTCGGCTGTTCTTTCCCCATTCGGCTGTTCTTTCCCCATTCGGCTGTTCTTTCCCCATTCGGCTGTTCTTTCCCCATTCGGCTGTTCTTTCCCCATTCGGCTGTTCTTTCCCCATTCGGCTGTTCTTTCCCCATTCGGCCGTTCTTTCCCCATTCGGCTGTTCTTTCCCCATTCGGCTGTTCTTTCTCCATTCGGCCGTTCTTTCTCCATTCGGCCGTTCTTTCCCCATTCGGCTGTTCTTTCCCGATTCGGCTGTTCTTTCCCCATTCGGCTGTTCTTTTCCCATTCGGCTGTTCTTTCCCTATTCGTCTGTTCTTTCCCTATTCGTCTGTTCTTTCCCTATTCGTCTGTTCTTTCCCCACTCGTCTGTTCTTTCCCCATTCATCTGTTCTTTCCGCATTCGGCTGTTCTTTCCCCAGTCGGCTGTTCTTTCCCCATTCGGCTGTTCTTTCCCCATTCGGCTGTTCTTTCCCCATTCGGCTGTTCTCTCCCCATTCGGCTGTTCTTTCCCCATTTGGCTGTTCTTTCCCCATTCGGCTGTACTTTCCCCATTCGGCTGTTCTTTCCCCATTCGGCCGTTCTTTCCCCATTCGGCTGTTCTTTCCCCATTCGGCTGTTCTTTCCCCATTCGGCTGTTCTTTCCCCATTCGGCGGTTCTTTCCCCATTCGGCTGTTCTTTTCCCATTCGGCTGTTCTTTCTCTATTCGTCTGTTCTTTCCCTATTCGTCTGTTCTTTCCCCACTCGTCTGTTCTTTCCCCATTCGGCTGTTCTTTCCCCATTCGGCTGTTCTTTCCCCATTCGGGTGTTCTTTCCCCATTCGGCCGTTCTTTCCCCATTCGGCTGTTCTTTTCCCATTCGGCTGTTCTTTCCCTATTCGTCTGTTCTTTCCCTATTCGTCTGTTCTTTCCCTATTCGTCTGTTCTTTCCCCATTCGTCTGTTCTTTCCCCATTCGTCTGTTCTTTCCCCATTCGTCTGTTCTTTCCCTATTCGTCTGTTCTTTCCCCATTCGTCTGTTCTTTCCCCATTCGTCTGTTCTTTCCCCATTCGGCTGTTCTTTCCCCATTCGGCTGTTCTTTCCCCAGTCATCTGTTCTTTTCCCATTTGTCTGTTCTTTCCCCATTCGTCTGTTCTTTCCCCATTCGCCTGTGCTTGCCCCATTCGCCTGTGCTTGCCCCATTCGCCTGTGCTTGCTCCATTCACCATAACTCCGTCATCGCAGGGACCTCTACCAAATGGTGGCGGGGGGATCATTCCCGATAACCATGTCTAGGCTCAAGAGGCTCAAATCGCTGTAAGGCTCAGAAGACTCGGATAGTTTGTTACAGAAAAAGTACCTTAGATCTGTCAATCAGCAAGAGGCGTGTAAAATTGTTTTTGCCAATGATTGCCCAATTTGACTTCCTCTGTCAGTCTCAATCCTTGTGTTCCTCTGTCAGTCTCAATCCTTGTGTTCCTCTGTCAGTCTCAATCCTTGTGTTCCTCTGTCAATCTCAATCCTTGTGTTCCTCTGTCAGTCTCAATCCTTGTGTTCCGCTGTCAGTCTCAATCCTTGTGTTCCTCTGTCACCTTCCATGCCCGTGCGCGTGTGATCTCTCCCTTCCGCGCTCTGAATGGCGAGACCAGGAGCATGGTTGGGATCACCTTATCCAGCACCATTCCGCACTTCTTCTCCTCCCTCACTGCCTTGACGCAGCTGTGAGTGCCTCATTCGCAATCCCAGTGCATTCGAATGTCAGTGCATCTCAAATGACAGTGCATCTCAAATGACAGTGCAACTCAAATGATAGTGCATCTCAAATGACAGTGCATCTCAAATGTCAGTGCATCTCAAATGTCAGTGCGTCTGAAATGACAGTGCATCTCGAATGTCAGTGCATCTCAAATGACAGTGCATCTCAAATGTCAGTGCATCTCAAATGTCAGTGCGTCTCAAATGTCAGTGCATTTCCTGCGCGAGAGAGTATGGTACTCTCTGTAATCACTCTGTTTTCGGCTGCATGTTCTGCAATCCAAGGCAGTCATTGAGTTGCTGGTTGCCCGCAATAGACTTGAATCAGCAGCCACCAGCAAGCTCTATTGTATTCTGCAAGACTTATCTATCCAACTTCTTTCGCCCACAAGAGCTGGCTCTATCTATGCACAATCAAAAGCACAGTCAAGTTTATTGTTGAGGCGCCTCAAAAAGAGCAAGCTATCTTTGCACAATCAGTAGCACGACAGGCAAATCACACATCTCAGCTCTTCTCTGCTGCGATTCGTACATCAGAGCACCTTGTCTTTGACTGGCATAAATCACAACCAGTAAATCACGCTTCTCCTTTCCTCTAGTTTGTGACTCTATCCTGCTACTCGCATCTCCCTCCCTCCACTCACTCCTCTCTGCAGCAAGCTTGTTGGGGCGGGCCTCCACTCATCCCTTCCCGCGGGCTTCTCACGCCTTACCAACCTCATGATGCTGTGCGTGCTTGCTGCGGCCACTACCCTAGACTGCTGCGGCCAGTACCCTAGACTGCTGCGGCCAGTACCCTAGACTGCTGCGGCCAGTACCTTAGACTGCTGTGGCTGACGCCCTAGGGCCTAGACTGCTGGTTTGAATTCCCCTTTGTTGTTGGAGTCCCCAACCAATCCTTTAACCCCCCAGAGGTTAGCACGTGACGACCATGATTGGAGCCCGAATAATGCTGCTCACTCCAACCATAGTCAAGCCTCCTTTGACCACATTCACCACTTGATTTCAACCCATGTAATCGAGTTCTCTCGACCAAACTATCAGTTTGATTTCTTTCGCACCCTATGTCTCCCTCACTCTCTTTCCTCTCCACTTGCCCTCTACTCGTTTGATCTTCCCTTCGTCTTCCCGATCCCCTACCTGCCAGCATGCTATCCAGCAACAACCTCACGGGCTCCCTCACTCCCCTCACTGGCTTGAGACGCCTGCAGCATCTGTGAGTCAAGGTGCCTCGAGGAATGTTTCAAGTGCTGGAGGTTTCTCTTTAGTCGACTCCAATTGGTAACCTTTTAAGCGACTCAAAAGCGGTAACGTTTTAGTCAATTCAGAAGATGTTCCTCTTGAGTCGACTCAAAACGCATGCTGTGTTCCGCTACTGTGTCGCACCATTAGCAAAGGTAGGGGTGAGATGGTAGCGGCCTGGGGGTCTCCGTCGTGTGTATCATGTCTTATGTCTTTTGGAGGGCTGCATGATACACCTGAAGAGCGGCCTTGGCGAGCGATCAATGGGTACATCACAGTTAGCCATTTGTCCTCGCCTCTCTGACCCTTGCTTACTGTCCTCCCACTTTCCCGGTGTTCACATCCTCCCCCTCCCCCTTGTCTTCCGCGTCCCCTTCCCCCTTCCCCTTTGTTCACCTCCACTCCTCCCTCCCCCCACCTCCCTCTCCTCCCCCTCCTCTCCCAGCAACCGTATTCACAACCGCTTCTCTCTAGCAGCCTCCCATCGACCACCAGGCGTTTCTCCTAGTTATTCTGCCCCTTATGCCTGTCTGTCTCCCCCCCCCCACCGACCCCCCCAACCCACCCCCGGTAATCCCACCCCACACCAGCAACGCCATTCACAACCACTTCTCTGGCAGCATCCCATCGACCATCAGCCGCCTCTCAGACCTCTCCTACATGTGAGAGCCTACCTGCTGCTGATGTTCTTATGCGTGATCACTGCTGCTGGCGAAATATTGAGTGGTATTTGGAGAACCAAAAAAAGAAAAAAGAACTACTTTTCTGGCAGCATCCCATCAATCGTTAGCATCACATCCTCTTTCTCCCAACCACACACAACTTTCTTATTGCCCCCTCCAGCTGGCTCGACAACAACACCATCACCGGCTCGCTACCAGCCTCCATTTCCAAACTCCAAGCGCTGATGTTTCTGTAAGTCTCCACACGGTAGCGTTACAATGTCAACAAACTTGGGCATGGTGGGCATGGGAGGGACAGCTACTGCCATTTAGGGGGGTGCTCCTTGGAGCTTGACGTTTGGCCCATGAAGTAAGTTACTAAGGCGTGTGAAACAAGCGCACAACGACCGGAAGAGTCTGGAACGGCTGACTGAACCTCCGCCCCTGCAGGAGTGTGCAGGGCAACCGGCTGACTGAGTAGGCACTGAGAGTAGGCATGAGCACAAGGCCCGGACGGCCCGCCCAAAAATTTCGGGCATGGGCTGCCCATTCCCGAAGCTCAGCCTGTGGCTAGGCAGCCCGGCCCGGCCCGGCCCACCCCCGGCCCCGGCCCCGGCCCCGACCTGGGGACTTTCCGAAATTGGCCGGGTCGAGCAGAATCGGACGGGGCCGGGCCTATGCTCATGCCAATCTGGGAGGTTTTCTGGCCTCAAGGGACTGAAAGTTGAGAGTTCGATGTTGCGCTGTCTTCCCAAACCCCCCACTCCTGCAGGAGTGTGCAGGGCAACCGGCTGACAGGGAGCCTGCCTCAAGCCACTGGGAAGCTCTCCGGCCTGCAAGGACTGTAAGGACCATCTCTTTTGGGGCGCTCCTCTTTCCTTCTGGCCTTCCTCCTTCCTCTTGGCCTTCCTCCTTCCTCTTGGCGTTCCCCCTTCCTCTCGCCATGCCTCCTCCTTCCCCATGCATCGTTTCCAGACTATCCTCCTCGCCCTCATCCTACAGTACTTATTCCTCCCCATACTCATCCTTCCATCCACCCTTCCCCCCTCCACTCATCGCATCCTCCATGCACTCAATCTTTCTCCACCAGCTCTCCTCGTTATTACACCATGCCCTCCTTCCTTAAGTATCGTACACAACACGCCCCATCTTTACAGCACTTACCCCCTCACAGCTCGCTAGGTGGTAAAAGCTTGGCTTTTTGTGGCTTTATTTCAATCCCTTTTGATGAATTCATCCCATCTCTCTCCTCTCCTCTTTGCCCTCCCTTCACTCCCGTTCTTGACCTATTGCTTGCGCCCTTTCATGCAGCAGGAACTCTGTTTTCTAGGCGCCTTAAAAATACATGTGTCCTCCCCTCGCTTCCTTTCCCCCTGCCTATCGCAGTGACCTCTCTCGCAATAGCATCTCTGGGTCCCTGCCGTCTACAATTGGCAAACTCAGGCAGCTCGCTTACATGTAAGCCAAGACTCGGTAAAAGGCATGTCATGTTTGCTATCTACATTTTTCAAAAACCAACTCAGCACACTTGGCAAGCTCAGGCTGCTTGGTTACATTACATGTAAGTCAGGACTTGGTCGTCTGACTGCCTGTGAATCCTAAGGAACGGTTGTTTCATCTTGCAGAGCTCCCATGTGCTGTGTCATGCATGGCTATCCCTTCTGTTGACTTTCCGTCTCTCGTCTCCCTCAACACCCCTCACCTCGGTATTGTGTGGACTTTTCTATGGTGTACTGGTTTCATTAACTACAGACAGGGTCACCTAGTACCACAAGTTTACACCGACTCAAGCCAAATCAATGGACCTGTTGTGGATGGGCATGCCGTCGGATCGCATGGCATAGAACGGCATGGCATGGCACGGCATGGCATGGCATGGCACGGCATGGCATGGCATGGCATGGCACGGCATGGCATGGCATAACAGCCGTCTTGACGACAACAGCATCACTGGTACCATCCCTCTCGCCTTCTCCGCTCTCACTGCATTATCATTCCTGTGAGTCCCCCTGCACTTCTTTGCCTATTGGTGCCATGCGGTGCTGTGTGGTGCTGTGTGGTTCTACCTGTGACCTGTCTCTGCTGTTTGAGAGCCTAACTTGAAATAAGACATGGTTATCAGTAAGGTGTAAATCTCTCCTAGACAAAAAAGGGCCGATCGGCTGTTTGAGCTAATAGTGATACTACGAGGTAGACATCAGCTCGATGTGATATTTTATCGCATCGCATTTATCACAGAAAATGCGCTGCGATAAGATATCGCATCGCGTGTTATATTTTTGGAAACCAGGTTACCGCGTATCGCAAAATGGGCATGACATAAGTAAATATGGCATTTTGTCGCATTTTATATCGCGCGAAGCGAGATAACATCACATCTAGACATGAGCAAAATGCGATGCTATATTTAATTGCCTCGCATTTTATTTTATCGCATGCGATAAAATATCGCATCGCGCGATTAATTTTCCTGGTTTTGGGATATCGCATATCGCATTTTGGGTGCGATAATTAATAATATCGCAAATGTTAGTGCGATATATCGCGCGATGCAATAATATATCGCATCGCATTTACTGCATGTGGAAAAAAAACTAAGTATTTGACCAGGCGGAAAAAAAGGGTGTGGAAATTCGACACAACCCTGGCGAAATTCCGCGCTGCGATTAATTATATCGCATGCGATATAATAATATCGCATATCGCATTTTTATCGCACGACACATGGTGCAGTAAAAATGAGATGAAAAATATCGCGCTATAAATATCGCATCGCATCGCGCGATATAAATTTCAGGGGAAAAATTACCGCAATCGCAAAAATGCGATATTTGCGATGCGATAATGCGATATGCGATGCGATCTGCTCATGTCTAACCACATCGTATTTTTCTAAATAGAAAAATGGTGTGATTTTGAGGAAAAAAAAAACGAATTGTCTTCTGGTTCTGCAAACGAGAACAAGAATGGCGAGGTTTTCTGGGATTTGTGTCCCCCCCTCCCCCCCCCCCTCTTGCTAGTGCATGCGATATTTTTCGCACATCGCATTGTATCGCGCATATCGCATCGCACTGCATTGCGCGATTTGTTTTTCAAGAAACAAAATCGCAATCGCAAAAATGTGACAAATGCAATAAAATGTGATGCGATGCAATATGCTCATGTAGACATGGTTATTTCGCATCGAATTGCATGATGCATCACATTGCATTGCAAATATCGCAAAAATGCGATTGCATTTTTTCCTAGAGAAATATCGAGCAATGCAATGCGATGCATATCGCGCGATATTTTTTTATCATGTTTATATCGCGATTTTCCCCTGCGATATATAGCGATATGCGATATTTCTATGTCGCATGCGATATTTAATTTCGCGTGCGATATCTGTGCGATAGACATGGTTAAATCGCATCGCATTTTGCGATAGCGATGTAACTTTTTTTTAAAAAGAATATCGCGCGATATTTGCGATATCGCGTTTTTATCGCGCTATTTTTTGCGCGATAAAATGCGATAAGCGATAAAAAGATATCGCGCGCGATACTTTCGCGTTTCGCGTCGCGGAATTTCGCCAGCAAGGGGAGGGACATGGGCGAGGGCCCTGAACTTATCGAAAATAGATGGTGAGCTAGTCTAGGTTTCTCTTGGGGTGATGCTGAATGGCGCGCGGAAATGGCAAGCGGCAGTTTGGGGGGAAGAGTTTGTGTGAGGAGCAGAGCTTGGAGCACATTAGAGGAAGGGTTGGAAATTCTAGATGGGAAGGAGTGCAGTGTGGTGTGGTTGAGGGAGGGGAGTTTGGTGGGGGTTCAAATTTGTTATGGTTGGTGGTGGTGGGTGGTGGGCGAGTGGGTTTCCTGGATGGGATGTGGTGGTGTGCGGTTGAAGGGATTTAGGGGGTTGGACTGAAATCTCGACCCCCAAAGTCAATTGGTTGGACTTCAACCAATTTCCACCACTTCAACCGCACTAAACTCCCCTGCATCTACAGAATCCAACCCCGTCCCCTCAAACACGCTCCACATGAGAGAGGGACCACGGTATTCCCATCTCGTCAATTCACTTACCTAATTCCGCGCGAACCTAGGAGAGCCACCATTGTCGTGTCCTGTGCTGTGGGAACACGTTTTTTTAGGGCGGGAAAACAGTGGCCCCTAAATGCGATGCGATATTATATCGCATCGCGCGATGCATCGCTTTTTTTAGGCGATATTTTTAAATATCGCCCCCTAAAACGCGATATGCGATTTCGGTTTTTTTTTTAACATATCGCAGCGATGCGATATCGCATCGCTGCGATATAATGCACGATAAGAAAGAATGCGATGCGATATCGCATCGCATCGCGTTTTGACCATGCATACTGTGCGATATCTATGCGATATATCCGTGCGATATTTTCATATCGCATGCCCTTTTTTAGGTCTGGAAACCGAATTTAAACCATGCTTTTAAACGTGATGAATTATTAAGTCGCATAGCACAATACATTGCTATATTTTTGCGATATGTTTTAAAATTCGCACCTCGATGTGCGATATCAGATTTCTGGAAAAGAAGTCGCAGCGATGCGATATTATATCGCGCGATATAAAATGCGATATGGAGAAATGCGATGCGATATTATATCGCATCCCATTTTAACCATGTCTATGCTCGTGTCTACTACTAGGTAGGTATGTAGGCAAACTATTAAGCATATTCATTATTCTTTTAACCATTTATTTAGTGTGGGCCTATCTTAAGTTATACACTCTTTTATCAATATGACTCCAAGTGTGTAAAATCTAAACACGCCCATTTCATCAAGAGCTCGATACTCATGGTACTTTTGTCGGTCCTGGGCGGTTCCTTCCCTTTGCCATCCAATCATTCAGGTCGGTCCAGAGCAACAGGCTGCACGGAAACATGCCGTCCTTTCTAGCGCCGTTGCCAGGGCTGAAGTACATGTGAGTGTTGAAAGGGGGGCGCTGGATCTGCATATGAGTCCGCTCAAGATCTGAAAGGGAGGCGCTGGGAAGGGCCTTACCATTGGCCGTGCCGTGAGGGGCTAGAGCTCCCATCCATAAGGCAGGACAATCCATCTGTTCATCGCACATGGGCGGCAGAATGTTTTGAGGAGATCTCGAGCTGCCCTGGAGGGTCGGGGGCCCGCCCCTAGCCCCTGACCTATAGCCCCTGACCTATACCCCCCGACCCCTAGCCCCTGACCTATAGCCCCTGACCTATAGCCCCCGTCCTATAGCCCCTGACCCCTAGCCCCTGACCTATAGCCCCTGACCTATAGCCCCCGTCCTATAGCCCCTGACCTATAGCCCTGACCTATAGCCCCTGACCCCTAGCCCCTGACCTATAGCCCCTGACCTATAGCCCCCGACCTATAGCCCCTGACCTATAGCCCCTGACCTATAGCCCCTGACCTATAGCCCCTGACCTATAGCCCCTGACCTATAGCCCCTGACCTATGGCCCCTGACCTATAGCCCCCGACCTATAGCCCCTGACCTATAGCCCCTGACCTATAGCCCCTGACCTATAGCCCCTGACCTATAGCCCCTGACCTATAGCCCCCGTCCTATAGCCCCTGACCCCTAGCCCCTGACCTATAGCCCCTGACCTATAGCCCCCGTCCTATAGCCCCTGACCTATAGCCCCTGACCTATAGCCCCTGACCCCTAGCCCCTGACCTATAGCCCCTGACCTATAGGCCCCGTCCTATAGCCCCTGACCTATAGCCCCTGACCTATAGCCCCTGACCTATAGCCCCTGACCTATAGCCCCTGACCTATAACCCTGACCTATAGCCCCTGACATATAGCCCCCGACCTATAGCCCCTGACCTATAGCACCTGACCTATAGCCCCCGTCCTATAGCCCCTGACCTATAGCCCCTGACCTATAGCCCCCGACCTATAGCCCCCGACCTATAGCCCCCGACCTATAGCCCCTGACCTATAGCCCCTGACCTATAGCCCCTGACCTCTAGCCCCTGACCTATAGCCCCCGACCTATAGCCCCCGACCTATAGCCCCTGACCTATAGCCCCTGACCTATAGCCCCCGTCCTATAGCCCCCGACCTATAGCCCCTGACATATAGCCCCCGACCTATAGCCCCTGACCTATACCCCCTGACCCCTAGCCCCTGACCTATAGCCCCTGACCTATAGCCCCCGTCCTATAGCCCCTGACCTATAGCCCCTGACCTATAGCCCCTGACCTATAGCCCCTGACCTATAGCCCCCGACCTATAGCCCCCGACCTATAGCCCCTGACCTATAGCTCCTGACCTATAGCCCCTGACCTATAGCCCCTGACCTATAGCCCCCGTCCTATAGCCCCTGACCTATAGCCCCTGACCCTATAGCCCCTGACCTATAGCCCCTGACCTATAGCCCCTGACCTATAACCCTGACCTATAGCCCCTGACATATAGCCCCCGACCTATAGCCCCCGACCTATAGCCCCTGACCTTTAGCCCCTGACCTATAGCCCCTGACCTATAGCCCCCGACCTATAGCCCCCGACCTATAGCCCCTGACCTATAGCCCCTGACCTATAGCCCCTGACCTATAGCCCCTGACCTATAGCCCCCGACCTATAGCAACCCCCTGACCTATAGCAACCCCCCGACCTACCCCTGGCCTGCTCATTTCAGGCGCCCCAGAAGGTCTCTTCCCTGTTTTCCACGCTCTCACTTCCCACCACCCCCCCTCACTCCCCTGCCCTGGCAGCTATCTCGAGGACAATCGCCTCAACGGCTCGCTGCCTGCCAACCTTGCTGACTTCTCCGCCCTTGCAGTTCTGTGAGCGCTTCTCTCCCCCATCCCCCCTGAAGCACTGCGATGCATCCATGTGCCACACTACATGCTACCCTCCTGTGCACTTGGGAATGAGCATAGGTGGGGACGGGCGACCCGTGCCCGGGTTTTTCCGGGCCGGCCCATCCGGGCCTTTTGCTCATGCCTCTGTTTCACTCAAGGTGCAAAAAAACGGCGTTTTTAACCTTTTTTTACCGTTTAAAACAGGATCGTATAAAACAGTCGTATAATACGATTAAAACAGTCTAAAGTTGCATTTTGCGTTTGGTGCAAAAAAACGGCCGTTTTATACGACCGTTTTTTTCGTACCACCGTATAATACGGTGTACAATGTTCTTGGCCGAGCTAATAACGCTTAGGGGGGGGAGGACTAGGTGGATGACGCTTAGGAGGAGGAGGATGGGGGGGATGGTGGAGTAGGAGCAGAATGAGACCTAGAAGGCGACGGACTAGGGGCATGGACATCACATACCTGTTTCAAAGCCGCTAATTACCCCGTAGAACGATGCAGGCCGCCTTAGCAATCAGGCCACTTGTTTACGCGTGCTTTTTATACATTAAAAAAAAAAATCATGAAAGAGGGTCTAACAAAAAAACGTCGTTTTTTACCAAAACCCACCGTAAAAAACGGTCGTTTAAAACGGACCGTTTAATACGGATGCCGTTTTTTTGCACCTTGGTTTCACTCACTAAAGGCTGCCTTTCCTTGCCGCCGTTTACCCTCCATGTGACCACTAGCTGTTGTCAGCCCCTCTCTGCACTTCACTCCCTAGATGAAGCTGACGCTTTCGTCCCATAACATCTGCATCGGGGAGAATGGAGTCGTGCCGCTGTGAGCGTTAAACTGTAGACTTCAAAGGGCTGCCAGTGCGGTGAGCTGCAAACAAGTCATAGAGGGTTTCAGCTTTCAGCTCGTTGAGCTGCAATCATCTCATAGTGGGTACAGCGTTCAGCAACCTCTTGGGGAGGGCGCTTCAACTGCCTTGGAGAAGGGCGACGGGGCGTCTTTGAGTGGACTCAAAAGAGAGGGAATGCGATGGGGTGTCTTTGAGCCTCCTGCACACTTGTCGACACCCTTCCAATTCAAGGCGCTTGCGATTCCTTGTTTCCACTTAACCCTCCTTGCTGTGTGTCCCCTCCCCCCTCTTTCTCTCTCCAGAAGCCTTTCCAACAACTTGCTTCAAGGCCCCCTTCCACCATCCATGGCTGATGCTCCGCGGTTGAAAATTTTGTACGTGCTCTCTCTTGAAAACCAGTTATCTCTTCAAGTCAGTGGCTGTGCTCTTGCCCGTGTGTGCATCGATCAGGCATCCAAGAAGGCCGGACCAGTTCGTTATGGCATTTCTCTCCAACCCACTGGCCCTGCTGCAATCCTGCATGGATGCAAGCCCCTCACCACCATCAGCCTCTAAAAGCCTCTTTCTGCCCCTCAGAGCCTCTTTCTGCCCCTCAGAGCCTCTTTCTGCCCCTCAGAGCCTCTTTCTGCCCCTCAGAGCCTCTTTCTGCCCCTCAGAGCCTCTTTCTACCCCTCAGAGCCTCTTTCTGCCCCTCAGAGCCTCCTTCTGCCCCTCAGAGCCTCTTTCTACCCCTCAGAGCCTCTTTCTGCCCCTCAGAGCCTCTTTCTGCCCCTCAGAGCCTCCTTCTGCCCCTCAGAGCCTCTTTCTACCCCTCAGAGCCTCTTTCTGCCCCTCAGAGCCTCTTTCTGCCCCTCAGAGCCTCTTTCTGCCCCTCAGAGCCTCTTTCTGCCCCTCAGAGCCTCCTTCTGCCCCTCAGAGCCTCTTTCTACCCCTCAGAGCCTCTTTCTGCCCCTCAGAGCCTCTTTCTGCCCCTCAGAGCCTCTTTCTGCCCCTCAGAGCCTCTCCCACTTTCTGAGGCGCCTAAAAAACCACCCGTCCTTTTCACACACCTTCTTTTCCTCTCCCTTATGTGCCTGCATGCTTAAAAGCTGTCCCTCCCTTTCATGCCGCTCCTACTTTCTCCCCTACCTGCCTGCAGGCTCGTAGCCCACAACAACCTCTCAGGGACTCTCCCACAGCCGTCCTTCAGAAACCCGGCAATGTCTATATTGTGAGGGACGGAGGGACATTTCCGTTTTCAGGGTGCTGGAAGGAATCGCAGCGCAATCATCCATTCCCTGTTGCCTTGGTCACACGCTCGCTTCTCCTCCGAGCTGACCAACTTCCCTTCTTCTTCTCTCTTCCCTTCTGTTCTCCTCTCTTCCTGTCTCTTCTTCTCTCTTCCCCTCGCTTCTTCGCTCTTCTCCTCCCTCCCTCTCCTTCCGCTTCCGCTGCTCCTTCTCCCTCCACCCTCCATCTCCGCACTTGGCAAGGTTGGCACGACAGCAGTCCGTCAGGTCAGCCCCCTCCATTCCATCCCTCCCTCCCATCTCTCCTCTCTCCTCCACGCCTCGCGTTTCTTCTCCCTCCAGCTGTTCTGCTTCACTCTCCTCCCATCCCGCTCCCTCAGCGATGTGCAAAACAACGCCCTGTCTGGCCCGGTTCCAGATTCTGTTTTCAGCGGCTCACCCAATCTCTACAGCCTGTGAGTCCCTGCAGCCTGTGAGTTTTTCTTTGGGGTCTCTAAGCCATCTTGTCGCCCCTTCTGTACACGCCCTGTGTGACTCCTTCGATTGCCACCCTTGCGACTCCAAATCGTCTTTTCTCTCTCCCGCTGCCCTACCTGCAGTCGCCAGTCAGCTCATCAGTAGCAAAGCAACTCATCAGGGACTGTTCCTCTGCTGCTTGCTAACTGGGACTCCCAGTGCTCACTGTCCCAGTGCTTTCTGTTCTTAATCCTCCCCTTCCTTTTCTCCCCCTCTCCTCCCCCTCCCCGCCCCCGGTATCTCTCCCCCGGCCAGTCAGCTCGCTGGGAACAACTTCTCAGGGGCTGTTCCTCCGCTGCTTGCTCAGCTGCCCACCATTGTGCTCCTGTGAGTGTGACGAGGGAGAATCCACCTCTGAGTGTGACTGTAGGGAGTGTGCACCTGCGAGTGCCGTAACCATTCACATCTGCACCTATCTCTTCTCTTTCCTATCTCGTCTCCACCCTCCCTCGCCTTCCCTCACCTCCATTTCCTCCCCTCCCTTCCCTTCTTATTTTCCATCTCCTTGCTTTCCTCTTCTCCTCTTACACCTTGCTCTCCTTACCACCCCCAGCATCAGCAGCGGCGGACGTCTTCTGACCTGACTAATTCCCTTCTCCCCTCCCGCCGTCCCCCTCCCCTCTTCTCTTCTTTCCCAACAGGAGCATCACCACAGCGGCATGGAGTGCCCCTCACCCCTGCCTGCCTGCCCTGCTGCACTCTGCTGCACTCCCCCCCACCTTTCTCCCCAACCCCTTTTTTTCCTCCCCCAGCATCAGCAGCAGCATGTAGTGCTTCTTACTTCTACCTCCCTGCTCTGCTGCTCTTTGCTCTCTCACTCCCCTTCTCTCCGCATCCTCCCCCCCCCCCCCCCTCCCCTCCCCCAACCAACAGGAGCGTCAGCAGCGGCATGGAGTGCCCCTCGCTTCTCCCTGCCTGCACCACCACCATCCGCGCTCTCCTCGCTTCCTCTGCTTCTCCTCCTGCCTTCTGCTCTGTTTGCCCCGACTTCTGCATGCAGTGCAAAATAGGTGGGCCAGGAATGAAAGGCATGCCATGAATGAAAGGCATGCCATGAATGAAATATATCCTGCAGCCTAGTAGTACATTGCAGGATGCTTGGGAATATAACAAGATGAGCATACCATGTTAACCACGTTTATCTCCTGTTGAGTATGGTGTGCTATTCAATCACCTCCCTCCCCTGCTCCCACCCCTACTCTCCCAACCCCCTGTCTCCCCTGCAGCCTATCCGCCACCTCCTCCCAGCCCACCCCCTCCGCCTCCTCCCTCCCCGCCTCCCTCTCCCCCTGCTCCCTCCCCCCCTCCCTCCCGACCTCCTCCCTCTCCACCACAGCCGCCACCACTACCCCCTGCAGGTATGCTGTCATTCCCACAGCTGGTATCCCTTTGTGTGATTGTAGGGCTGTGATAGTAGGGCTGTGATAGTAGGGCTGTGATAGTAGAGATGTGATAGTAGGGGTGACTTCTAGGGGTGTGAGAGTAGTGGTGCAATAGTAGGGTGGGATAGTAGGGGTGTCATAGTAATGGTGTGACAGTAGGGGTGTGATGGTAGGAGTGTGGTAGTAGGGGTGCCATCTCGCACTCTTTCCCCCCATCTCCACCCAATCTGCCATCACCGCCACAACTGCCACCGCTACCCCGTGTGCAGGCACAGTGGAGTCATCATGATGAGATCACATTATGATCACAGTAGTGTCATAGTAACCCTAAAACATCATTAAGATTGATTTAAAAAAGCACAGTCTGCCCTTCCTTTTGCAGCTTCGTTCTACGTTCCTTGATTTCAAAACCACCTTGTTATCGCCTCATCTCCTCATGTCCTGTCCTCTGTGCCAATACATCTCCCTGTCTTGATCCTGGTACCCGGCAGAAGCACCTCTCCCACCTCCACCTCCTCCCTCCCCGCCTCCACCTTCCCCACCTCCTTTTCCTCCCCCCTCGCCTCCTCCCCTTCCACCGCCCTTTCCCCCTCCCTCTCCGCCTCCTCCTCCTCCACCTCCTCCTCCCCGCCCTCCTCCACGCCCCTCCCTCATCTCCCGCCGCTCCCCTGCACCCCCTCCTCCGTCTCCTCGTGAGTCGTTCGTTGCCATTTTCAGGTGGTTCCTCAGGTGCTATTTCAGGTAATTGCGTCTTTCAGGTGGTGTTGTCCATGTTCTGCATCAACCCAGGTGGTTGCTCATGGTAGAACCTCAAGTGGCATGTTTATGTTCATCAGATATTGGACATGGGATGTTTTGGGTTGCGGAGCAAGCTATTGTGATCGATTTTGTTCTTTTCCCATTCATTCTCAATCCTTTACTCCCTCCCCCCTTGCATACCTATGCTCCCCCTTTCTCCCCCACAGCATCCCTTCCCCCTCCATCCCCACCACCACCATCCCCACCACCACCATCCCCACCACCACGATCCCCACCACCACCATCCCACCACCACCATCCCCACCATTACCATCACCATCATCACCACCAGCACCAGCACCAGCACCAGCAGCAGTAGGCCACTAGCAGCAGCGCAAATAGCAGCACCACCAGCAGCAGCGCAAATAGCAGCACCAGCAGCAGCAGCAACACCAGCAGGGGCACTAGCAGTAGGACCAACACCAGCAGCAGCGTCACTGCTAGGAGCGCCGGCAACACCGGCAACACCACCATCATCATCACCATCACTGGCACCACCACCAGCAACACCAGTACCATCGGCCCCCTGAGGTTAATAAGAGCAGCGTCACATGTGGCGGCAGCACCACCATCACCACCACCGTCAGCCTTATTAGCGCCAGCGTTTGACCGTCCGACTGACCCCTTTTCACAACCCATTCCACTCACGCATTACACCCATGAATCCCCCTCACCCCCCATTGATTCCACTCACTCCTACCAACACCCATTAATCCCACCCACTATTTAATTTCTCGCACTTATCCAGCGCCTGTTACTGACCCCATTAGAAGACACTATGTCTAGGGCCTCAGAAGTCAGGCCAAAAAGGCCTGAAAGCTTGTATATCTGGGTTTTTTTTTGGCATACCCTGATTTTTCAGGTTTTGATTTTTATCAAACCTGAAAATTGTGTGTTCCATTTTCTAAGGCCTGAAAAATGGTATGCTGTTGTTTTAGCGAGCCTGAAAAATCAGCCATACACAAATGCGCCCTGAAACTGAATCTTATCTGCCTAGGCGAGCTAAAGCACGTGTGAGGGGCGTGACTGGTCCTTGACCAGAATCATGCAAGTTCAAGGCGAGTTGGAGTAGGTGTGAGGGGCGGGTGACTGGTCCTTGACCAGAATCACGCAAGTTCAAGGCGAGTTGGAGCAGGTGTGAGGGGCGTGACTGGTCCTTGACCAGAATCACGCAAGTTCGAGGCGAGCAGGAGCAGGTGTGAGGGGCGTGACTGGTCCTCACCAGAATCACGCTAGTAGTCCGAGGCGAGCTGGAGCACGTGTGAGGGGGTTGACTGCAGGCCCCCAAATTGGTTTTGGGCTTGTCTGATTCATCAGACTTGCCTGCCATCTCTTGGTATGGCCTTCAGAGTCGCCCCCTAAAAAAAGTCTGAAAAATCAGAGTACCATATTCCCCCGGATAAAACACCCACGGGTGGCACTAAATTTTGATGCAAAATTCAGTGGGGGTGTAATTAGTTGCACTTTTTGTATAACGCCCGGGGGCTATGGAATGGCAATTTTATGTTTATGAACTGGAATTGAACTGTGTTGTAGACAGTTCTTTTGTGCCGAATTTTGACGATTCTTGCACGTGATCGCGTATATGGTGAGGAGTACCATCGTCATGCCACGTTGCAGGGCCGACCGACGTGGATTCTCCCGCACAGCTAAGTGTTGACTATAAGGAGCGTGTTCCCATGAGCCTCGTACAGTATCAGACTCGCAACATTCGCCTGAGTGACGGGAATTCCAACCATGGTAACAGTTCTACACCGCATTGAACCACTTCGCGTCGAGCTTGCACTGCTCAGTGACGCGCGAGTCTGATAGGAGACACTCTGATAAGAGGCAAAATCTACTGAAATCCATTGAAAATGAACCAGGGGGGTGGTGTATAGGATTCATGCCAAAAACTAGGATGGTATGAATATCCAGTTTAATAAAGCACCCAGGTCCGCCCAAACCACCCATGGGTGATTAATTCCGGCGGGTGTTTTATCCGGGGGAATACGGTAACAATAATTTATTTGTCTGATTAATCAGAGTTACCATTGTTTTTAACTCTGATTTCAAAGTGAGTGTTTTGCACGTTACTTTTCCATTCCCTTCCCAACCGCTGCCCTCATACTTCTTGCTTGAGGGGCTTTCTCTCGCGTGCGCTCCCTACCGTATCTGTGTTCTGGCGGCGGCGCGGAATTTCGCGGCACCCTAGGCCCGGCCCCGCGCTGGTGCGGGTTTGGTTGATCAGCGAGGCTCATGGCAAAGCTGTGCAGTATTGTACAGCGCTCTTGCCAGGCCTGACAGAAGATTTTTTTACTTTGATAATCTCCCAGACAGACTGACATACGATTTTAAAAAATTTAGGTGAGTCTTTCACGGGTTTCTATCCCTTCCCCTCCCCGTTCCGTGTCTAGTAATTTCGCGTGCCTGAGGTACGGCGACGATATCGGTTGGTGGAGAAACGGGATCATGGCGAATTGCGAATGGGGGACGAAATCGAGGGATGGGGGCGGAAAAGAATTGGGGGGCGGGCAAATCAAAATTGCAGGGGAGGTAGGGAAATCGGGGCCATCCAGGTGGCTATTCGTGAAGGGCCAATGGGTGCCCTCGCACACACAGCCCGCTGCAGTGGCAAGCACACCTCTGCAAAATTTTCCAAGGGCCAATCGGCCCCTCACACCGCACGCATCACAAACTGGGAGGTGATTTTGGTGAAGGGCCAGTCACCTCCCTCACACAGCCCCCAGTACACATCGGCCAGCGATTTTGGTGAAGGGTCAGTCAACTCCCTCACACAGCCCCCAATACGCATTGGCCGTTGATTTGGGTGAAGGGCCAATAACTGCCCTCACAAAGCCCCCCACAAGCATCTCGCCCTGATTTTGGCTAAGGGCCAATCAGCACCCCCCCACAGGTAAATCACGCTCCCCCCCCTAAACCTGGCATTACACAAATCAGAGTCGACCCCCCATACAGAGTTGAGGCATCAGAGTACACTAGTAAAAAAAGTCTGAAAAATCAGCGTAGGTACATAAATCTTCTCTGAAAAATCAGAGTAAGGTACAAAAAAAAGTCTTCCCAATCAGAGTACACCCCCAAAAAAACTCTGAAAAAAGTCTGAATCAGAGTAAAAAGTCTGCAATTTGGGGGCCTGGTTGACTGTCATAAAGTCAGCAGTCCTAACCACTGGGACAAGAAGGGATATCATCAGGAGGGTTAGGCTCTGTTGGGCTGAGAAAAGCCCTAGGATCTTTTCAGAGACTAAGTCCCTACTGTTAGAAAGAGAGAATGATTGACTAGTGGGAGAAACCTAGAACATGTACCTATTGGGTTGTAGTCACTAGAAGCACACACCTAGGCTAGCCTATAACTTCTACATACAGCATATGCATAAGTTGACACACCCCCTAGGCAAGAGAAGGGGTGGTGCTAAGCAAGAAGCACACATCTCAGGGTGGCACTACTAGTCCAACCACTGAGGTAGGGGTCCTGAGACCAGTCAGCAAGAGTACAAGCAAGACTAAAGCAAGCCAAGGCGGCACTACTAGTCCAGCCACTGGATGTAAGGCCACAAGGCCAGTCAGATAGGTATATATAATAGAGAATACACAATCAGGGTCCTAACAGGTGAATAGCTACAAGAACAAGACCAAGTTGTACACAGTGCCGCTGATGATCTTTAGGCGCAAGCGCCTTAGTAAAGATATCAGCTGTGTTGGCACCAGGGTTCCCGTTAGCAGACGAAATCCGTCTGTTCATCTGAGAGTCAGACTCAGTTTTCCAGTATCATCTGATTTTTTGACAGCCCATTATTTTTCATTTGAACGACCATCTTGGTCATATAAATCCATCTGAATTCTCAGACTTGGTGTAGTCAATCGTCTGAGTTTCCAGATAGCGAGTATATTTTCGTCTGGGAGCGTGTTCCTACGGGGCTCTGATGAGATTCACAATTTGAGCTGGAAGGCGATGAACGATCACGATCTCGACGGTTCACCCACCTCGTAACCTGTTGCGTGTTTTACAAATTTGGTGTAGTCCAGTCCTTGTGGTCATTCGGCTACGTATGTCATCGGGCCTCAGAGCCAGGCCTCTGGAAGTCAGGGTAATTACACTGCTTTTTCAACAAAAACAGGGTGAAGTTTTAACCTGGCCCTGCTTTTGACGCATTCAGAATATCGATACCCGTCCATGACAGGCCAGCCAAAATCATCCCACGGCCGATTTTCGAATAGGGGATGGACTCACCTTGTAAAATCTAATGTAAAAGTTCGCACCCCTAGAAAAAATTGCCCCCCCTGTCATTGTCAGGAGTGGCACATTCCGAGCTGGTCCAAACTCTGGACCAGATCGTCTACGTAGACAAGGATGTAGAACGGAGTCTGGCCGGAATGCACAAACAGCGAGGGGTAAGCAGAGGACGGAAAGAACTGCAGGTCTGCTAGCGTGGCACGCAGCGTGTCGTGCCACTCGCGGGGAGCCTGGCGCAGGCCGTAGACCGGGCGTCTGAGAAGCCACTGGGTCCCAGGGGGGAAGGTACCAGTGAAGCCCTGTGGTCGGCGCAGGTAGACCTATTCGTGTAGGCTGCCCTGAAGAAAGGCAGTGGAGAAGTCGAGGGAGTGAAGCTCGTAGTCGCGCTGTGCTGCTACGTGTAGCAGCGCCCGAAGCGTGGTCATCTTCGGGGTCGGGGCGAAGGTCTGGAAGAAGTCAACCCCCTCGCGCTGGCTGAAGCCTTTGGCCACGTAGCGCGCCTTGAAGACAGGCGGCTCTCCAGGGGGGCGCTTCACCTTGAAGAGCCACCGACCATCGACTACGTTCACCCCAGGCGGGGGAACTCCGTCGACGTAAGTGCCGGTGGACCTCCAAGATGCCATCTCCTGCTCCATGGCAGCTATCCACTGAGAGGCCCAAGGTCCCGAGGCGGCTTCAGCGTAAGTGCGAGGGGTCGGGATGTCGAAGGCGTCTCGGTCACCCTCTGGGACTAGGAGCATGAAGCAGAGATGGGGAGCGGCCTCGGAAAGGAAAGCAAGCTCGTACTGCCTGTCCTTTAGAACGTCACTGCCAATGGCAGGTGCACCCCCGACAGACAGAGGACGGGCAGGGTCAAAGACCAAAGCGGTAGCGTAGTCAAGGCGGCGGGTAGAGGCGAAGTCAGCGATAGCAGCGACAAGCGCGTCAAGGCGCGAGACAGGAACAGACGGATCGGTAACAAAAGAGGCAAGAACCCGAGGGACAAGGGAACAAACGGCACGGAGGTAGTGAGACAGCGGAAGAGGTGCAACAGCAAGCGAAGAGGGAGGAGGCGAGGTGAGGAGGGGAGGACGAGAAGAGTGGGAACGGAGCAACATGGGGTGGGAGCGCAGGATTGGAGAGACAGGACGAGCACGTGAGGGACGGCGGGACCAAACGTGGGACGGAGGTGTAGGGTAGGGCGACAGCGGAGGGGACACAAAAGGGGAACGAGGAGGGAGACTGGACGGAGACGAGTCCGGCTGCGGGAACATAGGGTCGTAGACAGGAAGGTGAGAAGGTGGTGGAGGAGACACCGGCGAGCGGTCAGAGGAGGGAAGGCCGAGCAGGCGAAGAGCGGAGACCGGTGGCGACGGCTGCGGCGGCTGCTGCGGCGGCTGGTGCTCGACCCTCGAACCGGCTGGGGCACGATGACCGCCAGGAGAACACTCAACAGCAGCACCCCCAGAACCAACACACCCAGAGCGAGAACCCCCTCCAGCCCTAGCGGCACCCCCACGCCCGCCGGGACAGACCACGCCAGGAGCCGCAGGACAAACACCCTCCTCAATGCCAGCACCCCCAGAGGCCAAGAGCGGCAGCGGCGGCGGCGGCGGCGACGGCGGCGGCGGCTGCGACGGCGGCGGCGGCAGCGGCGGCGGCGGTTGCGACAGCGGAGGCGGAGACACCGGGGAAGAGGGACGCAGCAAGGACGGGCCGGGGGGACCACCAGAGTCAGCAGACTCCTCAA